GAACAGTATAAAATTCGACTAGCTGCCTTAATTTTTTACTGGGGAGTCCAATAGAGTTGAGCCGTTTTGTAGCGAACTCTTCCAGCAATATTATCTTTCCGTAACTTCTCTCGTAATGTGTGTCAATGTTCTCTGTCATTTTTGAGCCATCTGTATAACATTGCATGGTGCTCTTACCAATTTAATCCTCTAGTGAAATTTTTGACCTTTTTTAATATTATTCTCTTCGTAATTTCTTTTAGTAATTTCGACAAAAAAGGCCCATCGGTAGCGTCTTTCTAATGACACTCGGTTTTGGGCGCTTATTACTCTGTTTTTACCAAGTCTTAATGACATCAAACCTAAGATAGACATCTTTGCTGTCATTTTAACAACAATATATGCGTGGTGAAGTCCAGAATCATCTCTAGTGCAGTGGTTGGACACGTGCATAAAACACCAGTGATAACATGCATACGCATGCCAGCCTCTGCATTTTGGTCAGCTGTTTCTCAACAATTGCAAGTGTGACCATCCTATGCTTGTAATTTAGTTCTAACCCTAGATATTTTATTTTCTCAACCCCAGCCACTTCCTCCACATTCAACGTTTAGGCTTTCAGTTATACGAGTAGTATAGTTTCAAAGCACGATAATAATAATTTTAATAAATCACTAAAACAATATTTTTGGACGCCAGGGATAGCGATTACAAATTTCACTCATCAAAAAGCGAAGCGAAAATTTATATTTGAGTTAAAAATATTTCGAATAAATTAGTACTTTCATCGACTAATTTCTAAGAATTTCCGTAAAATAACAGATAAGTTTGGACTGCGATTACTACTTTACGATTTTTTTTACGAGATAAATACAGAAAAGCTGAAATAGATAAGTACACCTCAATTAGCTACTAGAACGTATATTCGATTTAATTCTTTAATTACCATAACTAGAAGACTTCACTGGCGACATGCTTAAGTACTTTTCCTTTTATCGCCGTACTAGTTACATGTCTGTATATTTATACTTAGGTTCCAAAGTTCATTATACACTTGACTTCTCTCAAACTATTTTTCATTTAAATTCATATAATCAATATTTGTCACTTCTGAAAGAAATAAGCAAATATTTTTTCATATTCAATTCACACACTGCAACGAATAGGCAAATTTTACATAATTTTTCTAAGATTTTTAACACAACATAATTATATAACTAAAATCTATTGAAGTATTAGCGGAAGCACACAACCACTCAAAACCAAGATATGTTAACAGAACAAGATTTAGCTGCGTATTTTTTTATGAAGCGTACAGATCGCAAAAGTCTGTACACGCAAATTAAAGAGCTTGTGAAGACGGCGCAGGATGTAGCAGAAAAAGAGTTGAATCAAAGGCGCGAACGGCTGCGCACTATGCTCGAGCAAGAGGATAAAATCTACGAGGAAGAGTTCGCCAACAAAGTAAAGTCGCGCATTGATGAAGATATACAGCATCGTAAGGACGCTTTGTTCAATATAAAGGAAGAACGCAATCGGCTGGAGAAAGAGTTCCTGGAGCGCAAAACTATACAGCAACAATTTGAGTGCTGCTATGAAATTCGCGAGGCGTTGCGCCGCAAAGAAACCCTGCAAACAAAAGAGGTACAATTGGAGCAAATAGTGGAAAAAGAACGCGCACAACTACGTGAACGACAGTTAGACGATTACTGGTGTAAGGTACGCGATGCACGCACGCAGCGCTATGATGAACGGCAGGCAGACGAAACTAAGAAAAAGTGCGATAACAAGCGCAGCATGCGTTGCGTTTTGGAGCAGCAAATGGAAATGCACAAAAAAGACGAGGAACGCCAACGCGAGTTGAAACGCAAGGAGGCAATAGAGCTCAATAAAGTAATGGAGAAAATACGGTTGGAAGATTTCGATCGCAAGCGTTTGGGCCTGCCGAAAAAGATGCTTGATTATCGCGAAGAGCTATTGAGCATAATTGCCGAAAATAAGGCGAAACGCGATGCTGCAGAGTGTGAACGCATAGAAGAGCATCGTCAATTGATGCGCGATGTAGCGCTTGAGCAGCAGGAGCATAGCGCCGCATTGCTACAACGTAAGCGCGCTGTATACAATGCTACAATGGAGTATCTCGATTATGCGCGACGCATGTGCAAATTGGAGGAGGACACACAGGATATGCGCGACGCACGTATTGACGATTTGAGACATGTAGATATCTGCACCAAGAGTAATATACAGAGAGAGCTACAACGCAAAGCGGAGATAGCAGCGCTCTGTTATGCTGAATTACGCCGACAAATGTGCGAAGAATATGAACGACGACTTCGTGACATACAAGAACAGCGCGAACCGAAAATAATCGAAAATCGTTTTGCGCACCCCGAAAAAACACGCGCCGATATAATGGCGGAGAGGCGTAAGATGCGCGCTGGCTTAGATGAACAGCTAATTGAAAATGCGCGCATACATGCCGAGGAGGAGGCCAAGTACAATGCGGATCTTAAGTTGGCTATTAATGACCCTGAATTCTGTACTGAATTGGCCAAAAAATATTTGAGCGCCGGTATAGACTATTTGCCGCCACATGCCAATTGGCTGATTTATGCTTGCCCACAGAAGCAATTCGTTGTAAAGCGGACCGCGCCAGGCAGTGGTGATCGCAAAGAAGACCCGGTGGATATTTGTTTAAAGCCATGCGGTTGTAAGGCGCGCACGGGCTTGGAATGTACACACCACAATTGGTCGGCGCATAAGCGTGGCGTGAACGCTGATAGAAAGCGACAATTCGAGCTCGAATCCTGTTGAGCGCGTAACATTTTGTTTTTTTATAATATTCTTTTTTTAGAAAATTATGAAAAACTAAAAAAATTTGCAGAAATTGTATAAAAACATAAGAAATGCATAAAATATATTTTATAATTTTATAAGCAAAACGAAAAACAAAATGTGTTTGATTTCAAGAAAAGGGAGCCTAAAACCGATTAGTCGTTTCCGAACAATCGGGGGATATTTATGAGGGGAATATTGAGCAAGAAGCTTTTGATAAATACTCTTATTTTATTAACGCTCAATCTATTCGTATTTATCTTTTGTTCACAACTAAAACAGTTTTTTGTTAAAAATATATGCTTGAAATTTTATTATTTTTTTTTTTGCTGTTAAATTTATATTTGATTTTTGTATTTGAAATTTTTGTTAAAATTTTTACACTTAATTTTATGTTGTTTTTTACTTTTGTACTTTTCTGAAATATAAATAAAAACTTTATGCAAACACTCTAAACTCAACAAGTTGCTAGTTAGAACGTTTCCCGTTCGGCGTCTTACCCACGCTTACTTGCCAACCAATTATAGTGCGGGCAATCTATATCAGCGCGCGCTTGACAGCCACACGGCTTTTGACAAGTGTCTTTTGAGTCGTCTTTACTATCGCCAGCAGCACCTAGCAGTGGTTGCTTGTCTGCAAATTGATTTTGTGAACAGGCATATATTAACCAGTTGGCATGCGGTGGCAAATAGTCAAGACCCTCAGCCAAATATTTGTCCGCTAGTTTTTTACAAAAATCAAGGTCAACAACAGCCTGCTTCAGTTCCGCATTGTACTTGGCCTCCTCTTCTGCGCGTACGCGCGCATTTGCAAGTAGTTGTTCATCTAATCCTTTGCGCAGCTTAAGCTTTTCGGCCATGATCTGGGCGCGTGTCTTTTCGGGGTGTGCAAAGTGATTCTCAATAATTTTAGGTGCACGCTGTTCTTCTTTTTCACGCAGTCGTCGTTCGTATTCCTCGCACATTTGTCGACGTAACTCGGCATAACAGAGCGCCGCTATATCTGCCTTGCGTTGTAGCTCTCTCTTTATATTACTCTTGGTGCAGATATCTACATGTCGCAAATCGTCAATGCGTGCGTTGCGCATATTCTTTGTGTCCTCTTCCAGTTGGCGCATATGACGCACGTAATCGAGATACTCCATTGTTGCCTTATAGACAGCGCGCTTACGTTGTAACATAGCGGCAGTGTAGTCCTGTTGTTCCTGCGTAATTTCACGCATTAGCTGACGATGCTCTTCCATTCGTTCACACTCTTCAGCATCGCGTCTCGCCTTATTTTCAGCAATGCTGGCAAGTAGGTCTGCGCGATAGGCCATCATCTTCTCCGTAATGCTCGCGTGTTTGCGATCATTTTCTTCGAGGCGCACTTCTTCCGCCTTTTTAGCCACAACTTTGGCCTGTTCGCACTGAATTGCACGTAACTGTTCCGCCTCTCTTCTTTGCATTTCAATTTGTTGCTCCAAATTGCAGCGTACTTTGCACTTTATATCCTGTTTCATTTGATCCTCTTTTGCCTGTCGTTGATCAGAGCGCTGTGCGTTCATCTCATAAACCCTACGCCAATAATCGTCTAGATGGCGCTCCCGCAGTTGGGCGCGTTCTTTCTCCACCATTTGCTCCAATTGTATCTCTTTAGTCAGCATAGCTTCCTTGAGACGCAGCGCATCACGCACTTCAAAGCAGCTCTCCAATTGTCGCTGTATATTTTTTTGTTTCAAAAACTCTTTCTCTTGACGTTTACGCTGTTCTTTGATTTGCAACAAACTTTCTTTGGGTATGCGAATGTCTTCATCGACGCGCGTTTTTACTTTGTCTGCAAACTCCTTTTCGTAAATTTTGTTCTCTTCTTCTAACATCCGACGTAGCTTCTCGCGTCTTTGGTTCAGTTCATTCTCCGCCACATCTTGTGCGATTGTTACCAGGTCCTTAATCTGCGTCACTAAACTCCTCTGGTCTGATCGTTCAAAAAATTTGCACACTGCCAAGTGGTTTTCGGCTCGCGGATCGGCGAAAAGAATAGTTGCGCGAGTGTGCATTATTTTGATAAATTTTTTGAAAATTATTGAATTATTTTATCCAAAAAATTAAAAAATAATTTAATAAAATTATACAAAATTACAAAATTTGTATTATCGTGAGAGAAATAAGAATTGAAAATGGAATTTTTTGCCTTTTCAAATAGACATTTGAAATGTGTAGAGCTTAGCTTACCTTATTCAACAAAATTTTAGAGTTGTTGCTTAATTATCAATAGAGATCTGACCATTTTTTCAGTAGCGTTTTGGAGACAAATAAAATTTCAAGAATTGTAGCATACATTTAGGGTCGCTTAACTTTAATAGCAAGATTTAAGCAGTAAGAAATCTCTTTTCACACTTCATACCTAAAAGAATAAAATTTCTCTTGTTCAATCGATCTTCTTCTTCAAGTCATAAATGTGTACCGTAGCCAGTTCTGTTAACCATGCCCATGTGCCATATCTTATGTAAACAAGTTTTGCTGTTTTTTGGGAGCTTGAGGTGGAAGGAACTTCAATCAACTAGTATGCGGGGTAAGCCCTACTGATCATAAGCCCTACTTGTAGCATTTTTCGATACAAGCAACTGGTGTTTGTTTTTTTATCCATAACTTATGAGTTATAAATTTATTCAGTGTATGCTCTCAGACTTGTCATAAATGGAAAAACTATACTATTACACTGCTGGTAAGAATTTTTTATCTTTGATAAACTGATCTATTTACTAGTAAGCATGTCCTGGTTGGCCACAATTCAAATTAGTTCGAAAAATAACTGCTCATAGTCGGTTGGCTTGCGTTAGTAGTACTGTACATTCGAAGACTCTAGAAAATGCGATGCAATCACAGTGGAGTTTCTGTTAATCGTTGGTTTATAAACACTTCACAATTGTTTGTGTTTTGTAAAAAAGAGCATTTATTTATTAAAAGAAGAGCAAAATTTGAAGGAAAAATTAGAAGGTATATTGTATGGAGATTATTAGCGCCTACATATAGATAGATAGATTTCTTTCACTCAAAAGGAATATCGAATCGAAATTTTACCAAACGAATAAAGGAAAGTCACAAAACTTTTGATCGAAATCTAAAATATTTTGAGACATATGAAAAAAACCAATATGAAAAAAAACCAGAAGCAGCGAGACCAAAAGCAAAATCACCATAATCATAAGAATTTTATTGGCATTTACTTATTCGCACTCAATATAATGAAGCCTAAAAGATAATTCTATGATAAAGCTATTGTATTTGTCTTTGTATATTTAATTTTATATAATTTTTAAACTGTCGAATAAATATGATAATATAACTCGTTGAAATTTGCTTTTTTTGGTCTAGTTATTTATATATGATAAACAAGTATTTATATGCTTGCAAATTTATTTCAATTATGCAAGTGATTGAGTGGCTTTTGAACTACCTGTCGTTTTCGTTACTCAACAGTTTCGCTTTACACTCTCTTTTAAGTATATAGAAATGTTGATATGTGTTGCATGTATTGAAAGCTACAGGG